GCAACTATTCTAAACAGCGCCTTCAGAACCGACGTTCGAAGACGCTTTCCCGATCGCTGTCCGAAGACGCGTCGTCGGGACGGGAGTCGCTGGCCGGCAGGTCCTCGACCGCCGGCTCCTCCTCGACCGCGGGCTCCTCTGGCGTGGGCACGTCCTGCAACGTTTCTGGAACGACAGCGAGAAGCGCCTCCGCGCCCGCCTGCCGCCGCTTGCACTTGCCCAACTCCTTGTCCACGCCGCTCGCGTGCGTCTCGAGCCGCTTGCCGTACACGACCGCCTGCTCGAGTCGCGCGCCCGCCAGCTCGCCGCGTAGGTCCCACACAAGGTACGCCAGCGCAGCCTTCTTCAGGTTCTTTATCTGGAGAGCCATCAGCGCGCCGCGCCGCTGCGACGAAAAGAGCGTGTTTACGGCAGCTTTCGCGGCGATGATGATGCCGTTGGTGACCTCGCCGACGATGCTGACCTCGTTGGAGGGTGCGGGGACGGGATGGTTGCCGAGGAGCATGGTCTCGAGGCGATTTAAGAGCGCGGTGGGCTCCAAGGCGAGCTGCGCCGAACTGGAGCGAGTCGGCCGCGCCCGAATTGCTGGCGCCGCATCGGCGCCGGTCGAGTCCGACACGACCGCGGTCTTCTCCACCGGCTCGAGGTTCGCCATCCGCGGCGCTGCACCGCGGATTCGAACGGCTGCTCGCTCCTGCTCGGCGGCTGGCCTGTCAGCACGGCGCTTCGAGAGGGCGGTCGCCGTCGGTGCACGTTGACTATCATGGCGAGCGAGCAGCCCCGCAGTGAGTGGATGCAGCCCACCGGAGGTACTGTCTGAGGTGGGGCCCGGCGCGTGAGGCTCGTCGGCGTCCGCCATCACCGCCTGCGGCCACTGCAGAGTCGGCCAAACGAGGCTTGATTTTTGGCCATTTTGGCACGGACCCTTGCGGACTCTTCACAGCTGGGTCCCGGTGCACCCGGAGGATGGCTGAGAAAGATCCAGCACAGCCATTTTGGGTGTTACATTCCGAGGTTAGCCTTGCCCTGTGGTTGTGGTTGTGCCCGTCGCGCCCGGCGGCGTGCATATCGGCTCTGTCAGGCTTGCAGCTTGCAGCCCCAGCCGTGAGACTGTGCTTCCTGAAGGAGCTTGTGGAAGAACCACTTCTTCTGCCTCCTATGCCGGAGCGCATCATCATCGACACCGACATGTCCATCGACGTGGACGATGTGGGAGCGCTCTGCCTAGCGCACGCTCTCCAGGACCGCAACAAGGCGGAGATCTTGGCGGTTACGCACAATACCGGCCTCGAGCAGGGCGTCGGCGCTGTGTCGGTGATCAACCACTACTTTGGCCGTGATGACATTCCAATCGGAGCTTACCGCGGTCCTGTGGGCTGACCTGCGGACACGCCAGCCAACCCTCCGATCGAGTGGACCAACAGCGGGAAAGGATGGTATGTCGCGGACCTGGTGGCTCGCTTCCATTCTCCCATCCGAGACTCGTCGCAGGTGCCAGACGCGCTCACTGTCTTGCGACAAGCGCTCTTCAACGCGCCGGGCCATCGCACAGTGACGATTGTTGCCATCGGCCACGCGCTCAACGTCCTCGCCCTCCTAAAATCGCCAGGCGGCTTGGACTTGGTCAAGCGCAAAGTCTGGGGGGCACCTACTGGGACCGGCACCCGCACGTCGAGTGGAACTGCGGCGCGTACAGCAAGCTCTCGCAGCTCACCTCGGACGCTCTCAGCCGCTGGCCGGTGGAGGTGCCTGCCGTGTTCGTGAGCTTCGACATCGGCTTCTGGGTGCGGGTCGGCGGCGTGCTCAAGACCGGAGCTCCCGTAAACAGCCCTTGCCGACAGGCCTTTGTCGACTTTTGCGGCGTCGTCGATGATTGGGCGATAAGGGTACGCCTTGGCATTCCTCGGTGGCGGCAGGAGGTGGAGCAGGCCGAGCGGCTCGAGGAACATGACCACGTCGAGGACGAGCGGCCCGATTGGGAAGCCGGCGCACAGGAAGAGCGTCGTGGCGAGAGAGACGGAGGTGTACGTCTTGTCGCCGCTTTCGCACTTGCAGCCGATGCCGAACTGGGCGTGCAGCCAGAAGGTGACACCGAGCCACACAGCGACGTACTGCTGGGCGATGAAGATCACTGTAAGGGTGCCCCAGATGGGGTGGTTCGTCTCAAACAGCTGGATCGCGAGGACGACGTCGAAGCCGAGGTCCGCGTAGAAGAGGAACGCGCCGAAGACGCCGGGTAGGATGACCGTCATCCCGTGGTGCATTGCAGGGCAGGCGGTCTTGAAGAGCTGCATCGCCTGCTTCCGTTGCTCGTTCAAGGAGTTGCAGCACCCCGCCGCGGCCCCACCACCGACGGCGGCGGCGGCGGCGCCAACGACCTCGGGCGCCACCTCCGCCGCGTTGAGTGCCGCGTCGCCGAGCTCGACGTACTCCGCCATCTTTCTCGGGATTTCGACCAAACTCGGAAACTTGCGTGCCGCGCCGGGGGCATAGTAATTGATGGCGAACGCAATCCGGCCGCCCCCTGACCCGCGCTGTATTGGCAATGCCCCGACAACTATATTGATACACAGGCAAACTTTCGAAACGAAACGAAACGATACCAGAACGACGCCCTCGCCCCTTCCCACGCATACGTTTTAGTTGCGTGGTGCGTCGTTTTCCCGTCGCACACACGCCTGAGGATAGTGTGTTGAAAGCAGCCAATGCGCGCTGGGCCACACTCGCGCCACTCCGCACTCGGGTCGGCCCAAGCGCGGCGCGCGCCCCCCCCTGAAGAAGGAAGATGAAAAGAGACACTCTACTTTCATGGGCGTATTCTTTTGCGCTCTCCCCCCTATGCCCTGCCCTATGCATGCAGTTTAGACTCTCCCCCGATGGCGATGCACTTGTTTGCGAGCTCGTCGCACTTGCGCCACAGCTCGGCCCGCGCGCGCCCGTCCTTTGCAAACTTGCACGGGTGGCGCTTCTTGTCGACATGGTAGGTGCCGCTCTCTGGCGGGGGCGTGTCGAGGGCGAGCTTGAGCGGCGTCTGCGCGGCCATCTCGGCGCGGTCGGGGCCCGTGGCAATGCCAAGGATGGTCAGGAGCTCCGAGGTGACAACGCCCGGATGGCACGCGCTGACGCTCACGCCGGCGTCGCGGAAGCCGTGCGTGGGCGCCTCGGCCGCGAGCATGCGGACGGCCTGCTTGCACGCCGAGTAGACGGCGATGGGATGGTACGGCCGCAGCGTGCGGCTCTGCAGATCGTCGAGCTTGAGGCCGTTGGCGAGCTGCGACGCGACGAGGACGACACGCGCACCGCGCGAGAAGGCCGGGAGCAGCTCGCGCATCAGCACGAAGCCGCCGAGCACATTCGTCGCAAACTGCAGCTCGAGGCCGTCCTCTGCATCCACGGATGCGCTCGTCTGCGGAGGCAGGCCGTCGGAGCAGGCAGCCGCTGCGGCGCCTCCTGCTGCACCCGCATCGTCTTCGAAGCGGCGGCCGAGGCAATCCACTCGCACGCGGGTCTTCGAGGCGACGGCGGCGCAGTTGATCAGCACGTCGACGCGTGGGAAGTCCCGACGAATCCGCGCGCAGCACGCCGCGACCGATGCGGGCACCGCGAGATCGGCCACGAGGACCTCCACGTCGATCGCCTGCTGCGCCTCGCCGCGCGCCGCTGCACCGCCCGCGCCGCTGCTGCTCACGTTGTGTCGTGTCGTGTCGAGTGCGGCGCACCGCTCGCTCTCATCCTGCACGATGAGCACAAGACGAGAGACGAGGGCCACCTTGAGGTGCGCCTTGAGGATGCCACGCGCAATCGCGCCGCCAATCTCGCCCGTGGCGCCGGTGAGCACGAGCACCTTCTCGCCACGTGGCACACCAGACGCCGTGAGGGCGCGGGACGGCAACACCAGCTCGAAGCTGGTGCGGCCAGCGACCGCACCGCGCAGCAGTTGCTCGGCGGCGTCGCCCATACGCTCGTTGCGCCAGAGGTCGCACGCCCTCAGCGCACCAGCATTGGCCGCGAGCCCGGAGGCCAACGCAGTGCCGCCGTCGGCGCCGATGCCGCAACCCTCCAGGCCGATCGTCTCGAGAGCCCTGTTCGTCTTGAGGCCCTCGCCGATCGCGCGCGCGCCCTGATCGCCAATCTGATTCTGTGCGAGCAAGAGCGCCTTCAGGCTCCATGCCGACATTAGCGCGTCGCCCAGCGCGATGGCGCCGTCCGCGCCGATGCTGCAATCCTCCAGGCTGAGCGTAACGAGAGCCCTGTGCGTCCGGATACCGTCGGCAATCCTGATCGCGCCGATGTCGCCGATCTTATTCTGCGCAAGCACGAGCGTCTTCAGGCCTGCAGCCGCTTTGAGCAACCCGCCCAGTGCCACGCCCTCGGTCGGTCCGAGGCCTCGATTCTCCAGCTCGAGCGCGGTGGTCCTGCCCATGCGCAGCTCCATCGCCGGCACCGGTCCGAGGTGCTCGAGCGATGAGCATGCGAGCACGGCCTCGGCAAGCTTGGTCGCGCCGTCGTGGTCAATGTTGACCCTGTCGTACGTGCCCGTCACCGTGAGCCGCCTCAGGGGCACGGCGGCGCCGCCAAGCTGATGGCGTCGGCGCAGCTCGTCGCCGAGGAGTGTGCCACCCTCCGACCCCAGGCTGTTCTTGGAGAGGTCGAGGGCGGTGAGGGCCGCGAAGCGCGGGAGGACGGACGCAAGACGGCGCATCTTCGAGCCGGCCGCCGCCGCGTCCCCCCAGCTCACGTCACTGAAGTGGAGCTTCTTCGCGGCGGGCACGGCGCCGTCAAAGAAGCTCGAGTAGATGGTCTTGACCACGTCGCTGTCGGCGCCGGAGGTGAAGAGCTTGGTCTCGAGCGCCACGCAGAAGTCGTCCGGCGTCATCGGCGGGTCACGCGTGGCGGCGCACACGCTGTCGAGCTTGGTCTCCGGCACCCACCCGCCGCCATACGTGAAGACGTCGGGCGTCGTGCGGCCGAGCTTGGCCTGGCCGAGGTCGAGTCGCCGATTGCCCATCTTGAGCGCGCCGGTCATGGCGAATTCGACGAAGCACCATCCCGAGTCCTCGTACGTCTCCGCGAGCGGCGGGTGACTCTCCCGCATCGTCTTCGCAAAGCCGTCCGGCAGCTCCGTCTGCATCCACACGACGCTGAACGAGTGGCCGTACCACACGGGCAGCGCGGCCAGGCCCGCCTTGAAGAGCGGGACCTCGTCCGGCGTGCGCTCCACGAGCGGCCCGCCCTCCACGGTCGGCGGGCCCTTTTGCACGAGCGAGCCAAAGTCCCAAAAGAGCGCAAAATCCGGCACGCCGAGGCCCGCGGCCTGGAAGAGGGCAACGAGTGGAGAGCCCCACTCATCATCCTTCTTCAGGTAGAGGCTCGCGGCCTTCGCGACGCGCTCCAGGTGATGTCCGTCAGGGTCGGGATGCGGCTGAGTCAACCACCGATAGGAGAGCGCTACAAAGAGCAGGCCCCAGCCAATCTCGCCGTGCACAAGGTGCTGGTGGACGCCAACCTTCTCGACGAGCTTGCGCAACTCCGAGGCCGTCCAGAAGGCCTCCTTCGGTAAATCCTGCCGGCGCGCCAGTTTTCCACCGTCCTGGTGCAGCTTGACGATGTAGCTGCCCTTTAGCGGCCAGACGGCGCCGCTCTCGACTGAGTCGAGGAGCGCGTCGGGCGAAAAGTATGGCTGATGCGCCGAAGCAAGGGAGGCCGACTCGGTCATGGCGCCGTCGTTTGCAAGTGCCACGCTCACGTTGGGAGACTGGCTGCTGGCGCTGCAGCCCATGACAGCACGGCGGTGCGCCGTCGAGGTGCACCCACTGCGGGCTCGACTCGAAGGTGATGGCGCGGTTGCGGAAGGCGGGGTGGGACAGCTCGGCCACAACCAGGCCGAGGCCGATGGCCGCCTCCATTGGCGCCCCCACCATCGACCCAGAGACGTCGATCAGCGGCACCAGCTTGCCGAGGTCGACCGGCTTTGGCAGCGCCGCCCGCAGCGCCGCCACCGCCTCGAGCGGCGCACCCTCCCCCGCCGCCTCGGCGACCGCCGCCTCGCGCGCCTCAGCCGCCGCCGCCATCGCCTCCTTGACGCCCTCGCGCATCGCCTCCCACTGCGCGTGCATCAGGTCCGCCTCGAGGGTCGACAGCTCGGTACGGCCGCCGCGCATGCACTTTTGCGCGATCTCGTGCGGATACAGCTGCTTGCCCTTGACGGCCTTGGCGCCCTTCTCGAGGAGGGCCTTGCGCAGGTTGTGCCGCGCCGCAACGCGCTGCTCGTCCTCGGGGTGGCGGTTGCCCGTCTCCTCCTGCGCCGGCGCCAGCTTGCCCTTGAGCGCCTCGTTGAGGAAGGCCTTGCGCGACCGCTGCAGGCAGAGGGACGAGACGCGCGCGAACTCAATCTCCGCCCAGCGGTTGGCCGCCATCAGCACCTCGGTGGTGAGGAGGGCGCGGTTGAGGGAGGCGACGAGCTTGCGGTACTTGCGCGCCGACGCCGCCTCGTTCTTGTTCCCGAAGAGGTGTGTGGAGAGCCGCTTGGCGAGGCCGTCAAAGGCGGAGCCCTCGCGGGGCGCGTACTTGCCCGCCAGGGTGAGGTTCGGGGTGCGCGCCTCCTTCTCGGCCGCCTCGAGCTCGGCCGCGTCCTTGAGCAGCTGGTCGGCGAGGAGCGACAGCGCCTTGTCCTTGACCGCCGCGTCGATCCCAGCGACGCCCTGCATGAGCAGGTAGTCCTTCCAGTAGCCAAAGTGCGGCACGAGGTGGAGCGTCGCCGTCGCAGCCTCGACGGGGAGGGCGGCGAGCATCTTGAAAAAGAGGTCCTTCTCGCCCTTGCCCATACCGCGTGTTGCACGGGTCTGGAAGGCGAGCACCGTCAGGTCGGCGAGCGAGGCGGGCTCGGCGGGCACGGCGGCGGTCAGCGAGGCGAGAGAGTCGTCGGGCAGCGAGCGGACGAGCTTGAAGAAAAGAGCGACGAGCGGGGAGCCGGCGTCGGAGTGCTCGAGCGCACCGTTCTCGCCGGCCGTCTTGGAGTCCATCATCGCAACGAAGGCGGAGACGGAGGAGCAGGGAGTAGTGGACGGCATCGTTGAGCGTGAGTGTGTGTGTGGCACACGTCCTCCTGTCTGCGTCGTGGTCGTGTCCGGAACGGAAGTCTCATACTCGGAGTAACGACTGGACCCGGACAGCGGACGCCGCCACAAGTGTACGGGGCACGGTGCGCGAGGGCTGGATATAAGTCGTGTGCGAGGGAGAGGGTCAGGATGGTCACAGCAAACAAACAATCACACAGCCGCTTGCAAAGCAGCTCGTAACTTGATAGTCTCCGGACTACCATCCTGTTTTGGGCGAAGCTTTTATAAAATGAACTCGGGGGCACGGGACGCGCGCAAACGGGGCACAAACGCCAGGCTACAAAGACGGGGAGGCACGTAGTGACGCAGGGGAGTCTAGGCGACGGCGGCGTCCTCCGACGCCGCGGCGAGCCTGAGCTCGGTCGCAATCTCTTCCGCCGCCGCGAGCTGCAGCGCGACTGACATGCGCTGGGCCTGCAGCGACAGCCACGACCGCGTCGACCAGCTCGCCTCGTCCTCGTGCTGCCGCTTCGAGAGCTTGTTGCGCACCTTGTCCTTCATCTGGTAGAACAGCCGTTTGACCGCGTTGCACCACCCGCCGAAGGTTTCCTGTTTTGGGGGGTTGGTCTAATGGGGTCATGATTCGGGAATGTGGCTCCCGCGATCGAGGTTCGACTCCTCGGCTCCCCTTTTTAGTTGTCAAGTGTATTTTTTTGCTTGGGCCGGGGGCGGGCCTAAACTGATGACGGGGTAGGTATGGTAAGGACTAACGTAAGGTGTCGGGTTTCCCTGAATCCCTCTTATTCACGCGCCGGAATTTCACACCAGAAAAAGAAATTTCCCCGGAAATCACGATGCTCGATGGAAACCCTCCCCACAAAAGTGTGCTTTTTTCTTTTTCTTCCTGTGTACATCAAACCGCTCTTACTTATACACACACGTACGTAGGGAGTACATACACAAAAATCAACACTCGACAGAGTCCAGTCCCCAGGCCCAGCAGCTTAGACGACCTGTGAGAATGTTGCTCGTCCACACACACCCAGCCGCCACAAGCCCGCGGCCCGGCCGCGGCCCTTCCGCTGTGAGCCGAGCGAGGAGTCCTCAGGAGTCGACTACGCTCGCCGCTCGCCCGAGCTAAGGGCTGTGCAGGAGCATCGGCCCCCCAGCCCTGCTGGCCTCCTCCTCCCCTTGCTGCATGCACTGTACGCTCCTCCTCTTGCGACGACGGCACCCGCCTCCGCTCCGACCGCAGCGGTGGCGGCCATCGACGGCGCGGGCAACTCACTCCGATTGCGACCCCTTGTCCGTCTCCTGCGAGTCGAGCCCCTCCTGGGGCGCGCGCATGGACTCGCTGCACTGCGTCTCGTTCAACAAACCCGCTGCCTCATCCTCGCCCACACCACCCGCCTGCGCCGGCGCTGCCCCCGCCGCCCCGGCCTGCGAATAGGCTCCTGCAAACGGGTCGGAGCAGCCGCCCTCCTCGTCGCCCACCAGGTCCGCGGAGCCTACAGCGGTAGCAGCACGCCGTCAGGAACGGGCTGCCGGAGGCGCAGCTCCGCCGCTTGCCGCGCAGCACCGCTCGCGTCGTGCCCACCCGCAGGCATCATGCTGTCCTGAGGCTGCGACTCGGGGTGCAGCGAGTCCGAGCCGCGCGCGGCCGAGGAGGGCGGCCGAGAGGGCGGCGCGAGGTTGGACGAGCGGGCGTGCCCGGCCTCGTAAGAGCTGCTTGAGGCGGCGGCACACGCGGAGACGCCGCCGGCCGCACCGACACGGTCGGGGGGCGTGGACTGCGCGGGGGAGGGGGGGGAGGTCTCACACGGGGAGAGCTTGAGGGGACTTGCTCCAAATCGGGGCGGCGGGCGCGTTGGCGAGGACTTGCTGCATATCGCCCACACCTCAGGCCGCAGCTCGCCCGCATCTCGGCTGCATCTCTGCCGCATCTCGGCTACCTCTCGCCTCGACGAGGACTTGCTCGGCCGGCTCTGCGGCAGGGAAAGAATTACCGCGGTGCTCTGCGGCTGGCGACTCCGCGATGCTGCCCAGCGGCGGCGGCGGGCGAGGGGTGTGTGTCGGGCCGCCCGCTGCCGCTGCCATCATCTGAGTCGCCTCCGCGATGTCCTCCTCCTCCTGCGCGCAGCAAGGGAGGGGTGAAGAGACGACGACACCGCCGGCCGCCTCCTCTGTGCCGCTCGTCCGCCTGGTTCTCCGTCGCCTCCGAGTCGCTGCGCGCGTCTCGCGGGGTCGCCGCCTGGAGGACGGGCGCGGGTGGGGCTGTATGTCGGGCACGGCCGGGGTGAAGGGGCGCGGGTTGAGGGTCGCGGTGCGGGGGAGGAGGAAGCCACGCGGGAGGCGGTGTGTGTGTGGTGGGGGGGGGTGCGGGCGTGTGCGCACCGCCCGCTGCTCTCGCTCTGGCTCTCGCTCCGGGGGCGTCGACTGCTGCTCGAGGCCGCCAGCTGGGGGCGCCGCCGCTCGCGCCGCATCGGCCGAAGCCGCGAGACTGGACTCCGCTCTCGGGGGGGGCTGCGTGGTGCCGACGGGTGGCTGCGTGGTGCCGACGGGAGGCGCCCCCGCAGGCGGCAGCTGCGTCAGCTCGACCATCAGCGACTCGCCGCCGCCGCCGCCGCCGTCGCCGCCGCCGCCGCCGCCGCCGTCCGCAGTGCCGTCGCCAGCGCCGTCGCCAGTGCTAGCCGCCGTCTCATCGTCGTCTCCGCCGCCATCCGCGCGGTCGGTCTCCTCCTCCTGCTCCTCGCGCCGACGCTTGGCGGCGTGCCGCTGCTGCGAGTCCGCGGCGTGCGGCCCGAGGGCGTGCGGCAGCGACTGCGAGGCGGTGCCGGAGGCGGAGGCGCGGCCGGCGGCGGGAGACGGCTCTTGCGGGCCGGCAAGCGACTTCTCGACGTCGGCGATCCGCATCGAGAGCGCCGTCGACGCGGCGTACACCTCGGAGAGCGCCCGCCGCGCCCCGCACTCTCGAGACTCGCGCAGCGCGAGGTCCTGCTCGAGACAGCGCGCGACGTTAACTCGCAGCTACTCAACAGCGACTTCATAGCGGGAGTGCGGCGAGATCCTGCTCGGCGCGCTGGGCGCGGAGGAGCGCCGCAGCCTCTTTGGCCGCCTCGCGCGACTCGGCCTCGCGCGCCGCCGTCAGCTCGGACCGGAGCCGCGCGCTCTCCTCGGACGCTGCCGCCTGGGCGGCGCTCAGCGCCGCCGCCCGCTCCGTGGCGAGCACCTTGAGGGTTGAGCTGGGAGGTGAGGGGAGATGTGGGGAGATGTGGGGAGATGTGGGGAGGTGTTGGGGAGGTGTGACCCGAGCGCCTTGAGGTTCTCGAGCTGGGCAGCGCTCTCGGCCGCCTGGGCGTCGTGCGCCGCCTGCGCGCGCGCCGCGGCCTCGTCGTGCGC